CAAAAGTGCAAGATTCCTTTTTCCAACAACAACTGGTTTTTCCTGCTTGCTGTAGGCATACATACATACTACAGTTGGCCACAAAATAATAGGAGTGCGATATTTTTAACGGTTTTGGTCACTTGCCTTTTGTTAATTTAATCAAGCAATGAAACCGATTCAAAATAACGTTTCGGTTTCGGTTTTGGTTTCGTTCTTCAAATTTGTTTCGGTTTCGGTTTGTTATCTATTATAAAGGTTAAGCTGGTTATACAACTAACACCGCATAAATTCAGATTTCAAACTTTGTATAAAAATTATAAAAATTTCGCAAATTTTCACCTATATTTCAAAATTTTTTTATCAAAAGCTCTAGAAAAAATTTTGATATGCAGTTTTGTAGCCCATTTAATTCTAGTACAATGGCAGTTTTTTGCTGGCAGTGAGTGTCCTCCATATAAAAGAAAATGGTCGAACATGCACTGTGTGGAAAAAACGTGAAAGACCTTCAACCAAAAATATTTCAAAAATCAACAAAATTCTTAGAAACTTGAAACTTGCACTGCATTATACTAGAATGGGCTACAAAACTTTATACTAAGATTTTTTCTAAAGATTCTTATTAAAAAATTTGAAATTTGGGTGAAAAATTGCGAAATTTTTATAATACTTGCACTAAGTTTGAAATCTCAATTCATATGGTGTTTGCTGTATAACCAGCTAGACTTTTACAAAAAAATAATAAACACTAAATAAACAAAACACAAATAGCCAAAAATGGTCAAAATATCGCACTCCTATTATTTTGTGGACAACTGTACATGCATTTATAGTTTCGTGTGCAATATGTAATGTCTGTTTGTTGTAGTTGTTGTTTTTTTTTTGTTAACCTTGTCTGCGGCGCAAGTATATCCTTCTGGTTTTTCGCATTGGCGGCGCGGCGCGCACCTCCTCACTTCAGTCGCTGTTGTGCATCTAGTTATTTTTAAGTCAAGCGTGAACCTGTTTTTCTGAGTCAACAAAAGCACAACTTGCTTGGCTTGTCTTGCGTTAGCGTTATTGATTCTGCGTCTGCAGCTCGATTGTCTGATGGCATGCAAACACGACTGCGCATCTTCACTTTTTCACAGTTGCCTGCGCCGCATTTGCGCCATTTATTTGTGCATATTTCTACTTAGTCTATTTTGTTACCTTTTTTCCTTCGTTTTTGTTGTAATTTTTGTTTTGTTTCTTTGTGCACATGCTTTTTTATGTGCATATCTATATTTTTACTTGCAATTTTAATTCAATTACGAAGTATGTATTTTTATTGCGTTTTTTTTTCTTACAAGCCCACAAAATTTATGCACATACATATAGCCTACACCGCTTAATGGCCGCGTGCCATGCCTGTCGATTATATTTAGAAATAAAAACAAAAAAACGTTAACACATTGTCTGCGCTTCACCACAGAAATTCGCTTAATTTCCCTCTACATATTTGCAATTTTGTGTTTGTATTTTGTACAATATTTTTCTTTAAATTTTATTTTACCACCAACCACCGCCATCAGGTATCATTTCCCTGTTGATGTTGGTTTTCCTGCATTGCATAAATTACTGTTATTATGTTTCGTGTCGTCTTATGTGGTTTCCACTTGGTACAAACTTGCATTTAAGTATTTACTAATTTGCTTCGCTGAGTTAAATTAGATATAATTTATTTCAATAAAACTTACCTATACTTAAACTCAACCAAAAACATTGTAGATTTAGACTTTTTTCTTAACCATCTTCTAAAGGTTATCAAACTATAACCTCTTTCGTCAGACACCCATACATATGCATGTGACAGATATTTTTATTAAAGTTTTCTATTCAAGTTAAATTTGATCTTTCGAACAGGTGGCAACCCTCCTACATTTACTTTAGAAATAAAGCCTTTTCAAAGATATTTCGATTGATACCCAAATTGAATCTAATTTTTGAACAGTGGGCAACGCTCTAAAACACCTGAAAATATATTCTAAATTTTCAAACTAAAATTTTTTTAACACTTTGATTTGACACCCATATTTTAATATTTCATATAACTTGTGTATAATTTAATTGAATTCGATTTTCAAACAGGTGGCAACCCTTAGAAACATATTTTCAAACTATAACCTTCTTAAGCCTAAGCCGCTTTCATATTTCAATTCAATAATTCACCTAATTCCAGTTGAATTTGATTTTTCAAACAGGTGGCAACCCTACTACATGTAGTTTATTAATAAATCCGTTTCAAAATCACTGCGATGGATACCCATATCGTAATAATTCGTTTATTACGGCTCCAGGACTTAAATACATCAAAGCTTTTAAGGAAAGATCCATGGGAACCGATGCATGATGCAATACTGATGTACAACAACCAAGTGTGTTTTGATATGCATAAGTTCCTCTCGAAGACTGTGTTCTATATTTTTTTTTTTTACCTGGATGGTTCCTTCGATGCCTTAGGTTTCATAGATGTGTGTATATTTCTTTTAGAATATCAGGATATTTACTTGCTTTTTCCCTCTACAGATTACAAAGATAAGTACAAAGTTTGCGGAGGAGTAATGATTGATTTTCTATACTCGCCTGTTTCACCCTTTTTATCCCTTCTGTAGGACTTAAGTACTTACGATGGGCAACTTTGCCTGAATGCCGGCTTCCTCGCCACCCAGTCCTTTATTCTACAATTTTGGTACGTTGTCACTTTCTCCTACTATTCTGCTCCTGATTACTATTAGCATACCATTCATATCTCCAAAATTGCTTGCATTAACATTAAATAAACTAAAACTTTCGCTAAATAATTTCAAATTAAAATTTCACTATGAAAAATTTCACGCTTTAATAGGCTCGTCAGTCCATTGGCTTTACTGAGTTTTTGTTTATCCCTTTATTGTTGGAATTCACCGAAATGTGCTATAAAATAAGTGCAACTGTTGTGCCTGAACCACAATTATTCAAGCATTCACAAATCAGCAGTTTCATTTACAAATTGCAGTAAATTTTTTATTTTGGGCACAGTAAACATTCATAGGTATTAGGGTGGTACTTATAATGTCAACATAATGGGGTATGACTTAATTTTTTGTTCTACGTGTAAAATAGAGACTTCAACGAAAATTAAGAAATTGAAAAAATTAGGGCTAGAAAAAATTTCATTTTTTAATGTTAAAAATTCTATCAAATTTGGAAATTTAGATTAGCTACAACTCAGCGAGTTTATGAATTTATATAAATAACATTCAAAAATTTGTCCAATTTTATCAGATTTCAAATCAAAATTTTGTCGAATTTTTGCAATTTTTGAAATTAAGTAAACATTTTTCGAGTCCCAGCACAGTGGGAAAGTTTCACCTGATTTTGTTTGAAAATTACTGGACGAGTAAGTTTTTTTAACAAATTTAATATTTTTTTAAATACTTGCAATGGATTTTAGAAATGATTGTGTAGGCCCGAATTAAAAAACTAAATTTATTGATATTTTGATCACCATATAGCAAAATTTACAGTATTTTTAAGAAACCATCAAACTTCATATAAGTAAGATTTTATTGGTGACAAATTTCAGATTTTAAAGTTGGCAAAAACATTTTGAAGTCGTTGATTTCGATTCTAATAGAATCGTAAAATTCCAAATGGCCGTTCCAATGGGCCGTATGAATAAAACTTAATAGTTCTTAATATGTCAGACCTTTTATTTATTTGAATAAATCGAGTAAAAGGTCTCAAATTAAAAAAAAAAACAATTGCTTAGTTTTCATTCATGCGATCCAATATTGCGGTTGCTAACCAAAACTTATGCATTTTTTGTAGGGCTTTTTGGCTTAACTGAATACTATTCTGATGACAGAATCGCGTAATTAAAAATGGCCAGTACAGTATGGCGGCTGCTCTCAAAGAAAAAAATATACGGAACAAATATTTTTAGGCTTTCACCGTATGCTGATAAAAAGTACATTTTTTTTATTCGGGCGTAGACAATCGTTTTTAAAACCCGTTCAAAATATATTTATCAAAAAAAAAATATTTAATTTGGAAAAAAATTAGTCTTCCAGCAATTTTTGAATAAAACCAGTCCAAAATTTCCCACTATGGCTGGCAACGAACCCAATTTTTTTAATTATTTTTTTTTCATTTTCGTGGAGGTATTTTTGTATGCTGAACCAAATAAAAGGGTACCCATACAAAATTTAGACGTTAAATTTGTCAGGGTCACCCTAATACATACTTTTGTTTAAAAAGTAAGTATGTACA